GCACTGGGGTACAAGCAGTGAACAAGATTGCCTACTCATGTAAAGCCTACTTAATTTTTTAAGACAAGGTCTCACTCTGTAGCCCTGGCTGACCTGGACCTTGCTGTGTAGACCTGGCTGGCATTGAACTCACAGAGAATCACTTGCCTTTGCCTCTCCAGTGCTAGGATCAGAGGTGTGTGCTACTATGCCTGCTGTAGAGCCTACATTTTAGTAAGGGATATACTGTTGCCCGAAGTGTTGAGACTGGCAGCCGAAGGTTAATAAGGACAACTGTGGGGGATAGTTCATGTTGCTGGTTTTTTTGCATGTTGGGGAAGTCCTCATGGTAACTTCGATTAGTTCTAAATGTTCTTTTCTCCCATTGATCCTTATGTATTTTTGAAGGAAGGAGAAGTGTATGCCATTGAGACCTTTGGTAGTACTGGAAAAGGTGTTGTTCATGATGACATGGAGTGTTCACACTATATGAAAAATTTTGATGTGGGACATGTGCCAATAAGGTGAGACACTTTGGTTTTATGACTAATGGAGTTTCCCTTCCCAGTTAACAGTGTGACAAACATGTAAAGTGGTACATATATAAATAGTTTTGTAGTCTTCACAGTGAGTTCTATTAGTTTCTGTAATATAGCAGAAATACTAGCCTGTTAAACATAAAGGGAGGTACTAAATAGTTTCTGATAGCAAAATAGTTTGGGGTCTTTAAGTTTTCCAATAGGTAAATTTCCTCTTTCAGTTTATGTTGTAATTTTTAAAATCCTTTATAGGGGTTGGTTGTAGGTTGGATTTATACTTTATGGATGGTCTTTGAGTTTGGTGTGCAAAAAGGAACTTCCACAATACTCTGTGGATGAGTCTGTCATAGGAATTTCACACATAAGGTGATCTTTAGCTGGTTTCCTATTCAGCTGCCATATTTGGGCCAGTACATATTTCAGCTTTCAAGTGAAGACACAGCTAAGATTTGAATTTTTCATAACAGGAAATTAGTTGGCAACTCTTTTGTGTACCATTAACCTTTGATTTTCTCTTCTTAGGCTTCCAAGAACAAAACACTTGTTAAATGTCATCAATGAAAACTTTGGCACCCTTGCCTTCTGCCGCAGATGGCTGGATCGCTTGGGAGAAAGTAAATACTTAATGGCTCTGAAGAATCTGTGTGACTTGGGCATTGTAGATCCATACCCACCATTATGTGACATTAAAGGATCATACACAGCGCAGTTTGAACATACTATACTGTTGCGTCCAACTTGTAAAGAAGTTGTCAGCAGAGGAGATGACTATTAAACTTAGTCCAAAGCCACCTCAACATCTTTATTTTCTAAGCTTTGTTGGAATACATTATACCACAGTTAATTTGCAACATGTTGTCTGTTTAACAGTGGACCTGTGTAATACCTTTATCCATGTTTTAAAGGAATTTGATCAAAGGCAAACTAAGTGTAATTAACCAAGGAAAACCGCTTTCAAGACTTAAATATTAACTGTTTCTCCCCGTCTAGGAAATGCTATAAAGCTCATTAGTTAGGAATGACTTAAACATTTTGTTTTGAAGACCTAAGAGATGCTTTTTGGATATTTATATTGCCATATTCTTACTTGAATGCTTTGAATGACTACGTACATCCAATTCTGCACCTCTGCCCTCTGGTATTGCTTTTTAACCTTCCTGGAATCCATTTTCTAAAAAATAAAGACATTTTCAGATCTGAGAGCTACGTTTTAATGTTTGTGGTTATCATTCTAAACAGGAAGTAGCTAAACAACATAGGCTCTTCGATCTGGACTGTAGATACCTACAGATTTTCTTCTGGCATACTGGCTACAAGATCATGTGTATGAGATGGGCGGAAATGAGCACACCGCACTGAGGATACTGCCTTTCCTAGAACCATTTAGTATTTGCCTTTCATTTCTTTTTTTCTGCCTTTTAGGAAGACGTGCTGTTTTAATTGTCTTAGTATAAACATTATACCATGTGAAAAACCATAATTTAGTAAACATTTCAATCCTTTAACCTGGTGATCATATTTATAGGAAATGTATTCTGCTAACTTGGAAAACCAAAACGACATTAAAGCCACAAGCAAGGGAAAGGTTCTCGTTTGGATCTTGTTCTGGTTAGAAGGGTTAAAATGAAACTAAGACATTTTCATTAGTGAGCCAAATGCTGTAACAGCCCCTAATTGTTTGGGATTCTTAACACCACAGATTACTCCAGGGAATGAGGGTCTTGGTATCCTTTATAAAGCTTAGTGTGTTAGTTTGAATGTAAAGACACATTTAGCTTGTTCTAAGTCAGCCCCACTAATTGAATTCTTAGGCATGCTTTCTTAGGAACGTTCCAGTGTAATTTTCTCAAAATTGTTATGTGCCAAACTAAAGCCTTAATTTATGTATGCTTTAGCACAGTGAGATTTTAATTGCCTCTGGGCCTGCTGTTCAGTTTATATTTTGGCATTTTCTTTAACAAGGAGAAACCTATGACTTAAGAACCTAGATAGTTGTATTGAATAGCTACTTTTTCAACATTAGAACTGTAAGTACATACTACCTTTCTTTGGGGGCAATCTGGTTTTTAGCTGTATGAGCTATGTTTTCATGGTGCTAATGTTCAGTTGCTACCCTTGGGTTATTTTTTCCACTTAGTTGTGCCAGAGGCTTGGGCTTTCTGGCTAGCACCTTTGGGGTTTTGAATCCATGTTCATGTGCTGAGAAAGAACATTGTGAGGAGCTTAAATTTCTAAGCCCAGGATTTTAACTAACCTATGAATGAAGTTTTTTTGAAGCTAAGATCCTTTTTTTTAAAAAGCAGTAGTCATTTCAAATTACAAGTTCTAAATTCAGTTCCCAGAAAATGGTGGAAGCATTGGCAGGCATCACTGTCCCTGGATTGGCTGTAAGGAATGTAGTCTTGTGAACAGAGCTGTCACTAAGGAGAACTGTGTTGTTTGCCTACTAGCCATGTATCTCTTCAAGTCCTTCTGTTACGTTTACAGTGATGTATCTTATTGGTGACAATGCCTTTAGTAAAATATTTTACAACTCAAACCTCAAACTGTTTTTTTTTTTTTTAATTAGATAACATGTAGAAGCCCACGTTGAGATTTCAGGTATTTATAAGAATTCTAAGTTTCTTTTCATCATTTGGGTTTGGGCCTTTTAAAGGGCGGTTTTGAAGGCAGGGCATGGTGGCGCATACCTTTAATCCCAGTACTTGGGAGGCAGAGGCAGGTAGATCTCTTGTGAGTTCAAGGCCAGCCTGGTCTACAAAGCAAGTATCAGGCCAGCTGGGGCTACTATAGATTTCCCATATACCACCTCAACACATGCTTTTCCAATAGGTTTGTTTTAGGGGATAGAAAGTAAAGCACCTGACATGATGGCACATTCTTCTAATCCCAGTACTTGGGAGGCAGAGGCAGGCAGAGCTGTTGAGTTTGAGACCCACCTGGTCTACATAGTGAGATTTCCAGGCCAGCAAGGACTACACGAGGAGACCCTGTCTCAAGAAACAGAACAAAACTCTTGTCAGTTTCATTTTTCCTGTATTTTTACTTTGTGAGCAACAACATAACATTACAACATAAGTTTAAGTATGTTAAAAATAGGTGTTACAATGTGTTACATTTTTTAAAGTCCTTGAAATTAAAGGCTAGACTCAAGTAATTTTGCCACATAAATCTTTAATGAGGTATATTTTAATAGAAGTAACAATTTGCATAGGTGTTTGGTAAATGAACATTTTTAAACCTAGGCATTTAATACCCCACCTGTATTTCTGGCACAAATGATGTTGCTTTCTGAAACTTGAAAACTGCTAATATCTTTTCTAGTTTATACTTAAGCTGCAAATAAATCCACGGTAGGAAAAAAAATGGACAAATAATCTTCCAGTGGTTAACAAAGAGCTTCATTTCAGATCTTACATACAGATCCATACAGGTTAGTGGAGCATTCCTTTTCTAAGTAAAAGCAGCAGCAGCAGCAGCAGGGCTTCCAGGAGACCTAGTGAAGCCATTGAACTAGAGCAAGCAGAATCTCTCTTGCTTTACTTTTACTAAAATGCAAGTTTAGATCACTTTTAGTGTTTTTGGGAAGAGGCCCAGGCCCCCCCATGCTAACCTAAGAGGTTCCCAATAGTCACACAGTCCTACCAAGAGCAAAACTTTCAGGCTTTGTTCAGAAAACTGAGATGTTAATGTATGTAACCCAGGCTCCAGTTCTGAAGAGTTACTTTTTCTGCTCTATGCTTTTTTTTAACTCTTTTGAACTAAAAACCCAAAGCCTTCAAGAAATTGAATATTAAACATAAAATCAACTTATTCCCAAGGTAAACTACATTTGTTTATCATAATATTCTGGGTTGCTAAATTCAAGTTTTTATGACTGCTTTATTAGAACTGTTTTGCTGATAACAAATGTCTCAGCCATTGTTTTCATGCCCCTAGTGCCAAAGTCCATTAAATGCACCATTTGTAAATCTGCTGTTTTCACTTAAGAGTTTGTGCCTAATGAAGAACAATTATTATTTTTGAGAGTCTCCTATAGCTCCAGCTTGCCTGAAACTTGCTATGTAGACCAGGCTGGCTTGATCTCACATATATCTGCCTATTTCTGCCTCCCAAGTGCTGGGATTATGTTTACCTTCAAGGGGGCAGAACTGACTTCAGCATACAAATGGATTTTTTTTTTTTTGAGTAAGACTATTTTGAAGAAAGCAACTTTTCCACATATTTAGACTATATAGAAAAAAAATCTACAAAGATAAATAATGTATATAAAATGATGCCACCTGAATTCCTTTGGCAGATTGCACAAACTCATGATCTGAGGTAATTAAGACATCAAAATTTAAGAGGTAATACTAGTCTGAGGTAAACACTAAAAGTATAAAACTCAAATAATTGAAAAAAGTTTAGTTACCTACAATATTTATAGCTCATCTCTGTAAAAAAAAAAAAAAAAAAAACAAAAAGAACAAACAAAACTTGTAGTTAAATACAAAATGTATAAACATAGCATGCCACTGATCATAATTAAAAAAATAAAAACAATGAAGCTCAACATTGTTAAGTCAGCCCATTTAAAAAGTATATATACAAATAACAGGAAGAAAGCCCAACTGTCTGGATCAGCTAAGGATTTCATTAGAAGAGGTATCAGTTTCTTCACTGGGATGTTGACTATTAGGCAGGAGTTCAGGAGGCAAGAGTTTAGAATGTCCATTCTCAGTAAGGCGCTGAGTATAAAATAAGATATAAGCTTGGGCCTTTCGTACTTCATCCATAGTGCACATGCTTAGCTTGGAATCATTGCAGTGTACCCAGAACCCTAGAGAACAGAAATAGGATGTTGGTAAAAACATCAAAATTTTCTACTACAAAAGGCTGTTAAACTGAAAATGGGAGTATTTCCTGAAGGAAAAGTAATAGCTAATAACTCAGGTGTATGTTACACTGAATAACCTATTTTCCTAGTTTGGAGTTAACAGAATTTAGTGAGTGTAAAAGGATTAGCCAAAATAAGATGAAATAAACCAGTGGAACGTCAAGTAATACTTTCACCACTAATCATAAAGCACAGTGTACATCTAAACTCTTGGTAAAGTTGTATGAATTTCTTTTGCAGATTACACTTTCTTTTTTTTTATCTATACTGTTTGTTGTCTGTGTGGTTCTTTTTCAATGGATAGGTACCAAAATGGGAAAGAAAACGTAAAGCCTCAGTCCAGGCACTTACGGGAGATGGCAAATGAAAGTTATCTTTGTATGTTACATTTGAACTCTTCCAAATATCTGATCTTCCAGATCATTAGATAACCTGCTCTGTAAAAATAAACTGAGGGGCTGGGGAGATGGCTCAGTGGTTAAGAACATCAGCTGTTCTTGCAGAAGACCCAGGTTCAAATCCAAGCACCCACATGGCAAGCACCCACATGGCAGCTAACAACTGTCCGTAACTCCGTAACTCCAGTCCCACGGGATCTGACATCCTCTTCTGACCTCCATGGGCATTGCAAGACACGGGTACACTTACCTACATGCAGGCAATACACATATATACATAAAAATAATAGAGCCGGGCATGGTGGCATACACCTTTAATCCCAACACTCAGGAGGCAGAGGCAGGCGGATCTCTGAGTTCAAGGCCAGCCTGGTCTACATAGTGAGTGCCAAGATAGCTGGGGCTACAGGGAGACCCTGTCTCAATAAAAAAAAAAAAAATATTTATATATATATATATATGTATATAAAATAAACTGAAATACACCAGTAACCATAGGGTCCTGCTCTTGATGTTCAGATAAAAATGGACTATCTGACTTTTTGTTAATTATAACTGTCTTCATTATTCTGTACCCATAGCCCTTAACTAAACAATTTACATGGGGCTGGAGAGATAGCTCAGTGGTTAAGAGCACTGGCTGCTCTTGCAGAGGACCTGGGTTAAATTCTCAGCACCTACGTGGTGGCTAACAACTGTCTGTAACTCCAGTTTCAGGAGATCTGACTCCCGTCTTCTGACCTCCACAGGCCACAGGCATTGCATGACATGGGTACACTTAAACACATGCAGGCAATACACTCCGAACACAAAATAAAAATACATTAAAAAAAAATTCCAAACCTGCTCTCCCTTTAAACCAGCAGAGAGCATTTGTCTAGAAAGAAAAGTGGTCAGATGGCTTTGCTCAAGATGATTTCATGGCCAAATTGCTAAAATCTGAACACAAGCTTCCAAATCTACCCCAAGATAAAATTTTTTTTCTTGTCTATACCTCCTTCAGAATTGTAGCAGTAGGCAGTATAGTGTCCTGAGCCAAATCCTTTCCCATGGTGCATTACTACAGCAGATAAGTCATACATAAAGCATTCTGATCTGAGGGATTTCAGGGTCTCCCCGCAGCAATAGGGCTCCATGTTTAAGATTTCCTCAAAGACAACATGAACGCCAATCTTCTCTCGGTTATTACGTCCTGACCATCTGTGAATAAAGTAAAATAATCAGCAAAATCAAAGGAAGATTACTATATACTAAGTCTAGATCTAGCAACAGATCTCATGTGCATGTGGGTCCTGTGGACTGAGCTCAGGTCATCAGGCTTGGCAGCAGGTGCCTTTACCCACTGAGCCATCTTATGAGCTGTATTTTTGATTATTATTTTTCAAACACAAAGTAACTGGGTAAAATACACAAATTACAGATTAATTTTTTCTTTTTCTGATCTTTTTGAGACGGTCTCCCTGTAGCCCAAGCTGGCCTAGAACTCACTATGTAGACCAGGCTGGCTTTGAACTCACAGAGATCAGCCTCTGCCTCCCAAGTGCTGGGACGAAAGGCGTGTGCCACCATGCCTTAAAAAATATACCTAAATATTAAACACAATAAGCAGAATTAAATTCACATTTAGCCAACGATGCTGCTGGGCTGGGTTACACATTCTTTACCCTCGTTTGCTCAGTAAGCTAAGGAAAGAGGATACTCTGTTCAATGCCAGCCTGGGATATAAAAAGTTCCAGGCCAGCCTGGCCCTGTCTCAAAAAAACAGTAATAAAACAACTCAGTTATTGAACATGGATGGTATTTTTTTGGTCAAGGGTAAAGACTACTTTTTTAAAATTATTTTTATTTTATGTGTATCAGTGTATTACCAGCATATGAGTATCCATGTCATGCAGTGCCCATGGAGGTCAGAAGAGGGTATCGGGTCCCCTGAAACTGGAGTTACAGACCACGTGGGTGCTGAAAATCGAACCCTGGTCCTCTGCAAGAGCAGCCAATGCTCTTAACCACTGAGCCATCTCTCCAGGCCCCTAAGGTTTTTTCCTTGAAAAGATTTATAAGTCATAGGACTAGCCAAGTATATGGTATTAACATTTAATACGTAGGGCTGGGCATGGTGGGTGCACTCCTTCAATCCCAGCACTCAGGAGGCAGAGGCAGACAGAGCTCTGTGAGATCTGGTGAGATCTGCCAGCCTGGTTTTTATACAGAGTTCCAGGTCAGCTGGGGCTACAGAGAGACCCTATCTCAAAAAACAAAAACAAAAGCACACCAAAAAAACGGACTGGGAGATAGCTGAGCAGTTAAGAGCACTTGCTGTTCCCGCAGAGGACCAGGGTTTGTTTCCCAGCACCCACATGGCAGCTAACAACCATCTGTAACTCCAGTTCCAGGGGATCCAACACCCTCTTCTGGCCTCCTCAGGCACTGCATGCATGTGGTGTACCTACATACATGCAGGCAAAACACTCATACATAAAATTTAAAAAAAAAAATTAATCCATCATATGTGTGCTTTTAAGTTTTAAAGTATCTTAAACAGAAGGAATGACCAAGTTATTTGTGTAACTGATAGGCAGATGGTACTAATAACTACTAACCTGAATCGTTTGAGGTGTAGTCTGAGAACCTGAGGTAGGTGGCATATCATAAGCTGTTTCTGGGCTTCTGTGAGTACAACTGGTTTTGTCGAAAACTTTCTACGCTTTGCTAAAATACCAAAGAATGAAAAGCAAGTTAAAAGTACAAGGAAAAGATGACTAACCTATATTCACACAACTCAGACATGAACTGGAAAAACATGCACTGTGTTACAGCACAGTACTACGCTAGAGATAATAAGCATGGGCTTTGCCCTCAAGAAACCAGTGCACAACTTAAAATACAAGCAGTTAAGTTAGACATGAAAATTAGTATAGGACTTAATAATGATCTTGCAGTTGAAATAGAATTTGGTATACTGCTATACAAGTAGACTTGAGGGGCCAGAGAGATGGCTCAGCAGCTAAGAGTGCTGGCTGCTCTTGCAGAAGACCAGGATTCGGTTCCCAGCGACCACACAGCAGCTAACAATCTTCTGCAACTCCAGTTTCAGGGGATCCAATGTCCTCTTCTGACCTCTGTGGGTACTGCATGACAGCAGAAAAAGTTAAAATTCTCCCCTACACATATTTTAATATACATTGCCCAAACTTTTTAAAATGTGTGGTCAGTTCACTTTCTAAGGCTAATCAAGCCCCCAGGGGCACAGGTATGCTGCCCAAAACACTCCTTCACCTCCTTGGCTTCACCACAGCCATGGTGGGGTGCATCCTAGGGCTTCCTCCTTCAGTGTCTTTTGTCCTTTTTAGCAAGTTGAACTTGGGATTCTTGTCCCCTCTGCTTCTCTAGTGGTCTGCTTAGGGGCTGTGCCTGTCATTTCTGACTGGATCATTTCCTACTGAAGCTTGCTCTTGATGTACAGCAGCTGTCCTTTGACTTGTCCAACAACTCTGGCCCCAACAAGAACAGCAGCTGCTTCTCATGGAGGAGGCAGAATCAGCCAGCTCTAGGCCAGTTCCACTGGCTACTAGAAGCCTTTCCTCCAAGGTCAATGCCCAAAAGCCAGGTATCCAGCTGTGGCCAAATGCCCAATCTCACCTTTGGATTGTCCTCTAAAGCACACAGTACATACATGTCTTGACAAGGGATGTAAACTCCAACTTCTTTTCAACATTTGCCTTCATGTATTAAAGCAGCTTTTCTAGGCTTGTATTTGGAAGTCTCCGTGAATTTACAAATTGGTATAAATCCATATTCTACATATATAATATTTGTATTCCACAAAATTTGGTGATGAAAATATTTGGGACTATTTATGTTTATGTCTAAAGGGGAAAAATTCATCACAACAAATCTGACAAAGGCCTATTTTTTTTCTAAAATCTTATACATTTTAGACTATTATAATACAGTTCACATTAGACTATATGCAGTATAAAAATATCTTTCAGCAGTTCTAGAAAACTATCAGTGTGACATCTCTTCAGTCCAGGAATGCGTTTCTTTTCTGATAAAAGTTTTTTTGGCCTAGGGATGAAATTCAATGTTAGGGTACGTGCCTAGTATGCATGAAGCCCTTGGTTTGATCCCTAGCACTGCCAAAAAATATCTGAAGTTTTAGAATCATTTTTTTGAGACAAAATGCTTTAACATACAGAACAGAACACTAAAGTGCCATGTGTCCCAACAGAGGAAACTGCCCAGCAGACCTGCCATGGCTTATGCACTGTTTCCTTGGAAGAGGGTGTTCAGACGGTTCCACCTTTCATGGTACTTCTGTTCTAAGAGCACTTCTACAGAATCTCAATTATGTCTATTCCTCTGCTTGGAATATGAACACTTTATAAAAGGGTCTTTACCTCCCCCCACAGCAACTAGAACAGCTGAGAGATGGTTTTGAGTAAATCTTGTTTTTTTATGAAGCCATTCTCCACAGCAGCAGTCTAGCTAATGTTATACTATTTTCTGATAAACATGTAGGAAAAAAACAGTATTATCTATACACAATATTTTGATATGTAGATCTATACATCAATGTTTTGATATATAGCAAAATAATTTCATAAGCAAACTTCTCATTTTCATGACATTTACTATTCCTTTTTGCCACTTTATTATGCTCTATATCAAATTATTTAAACTTCTTTCCTTTGTGTGGGGATCAAATCCAGGGTTACACATCCTAGGTAAACACTCCACCACTGAATCACACTGCCAGCCCTAAATTTCTTATTTTGTGAATGTCTTCTCTCCATAAATAACTATAAGATCAAGAAAAATTTTAATGTCATTAATAAGACAAAAACATTCCATAAATGATGACTGTGAAATAGAAATGTCTAGCCTGATTTTTCTGAGGAACTAAAAAATTTTCATAGCTGTTACTTAGGAATTTCTTCTAGCTTCCTCCACTTTCTTAATCTTACAAAAGCGCAAAGAACATATCGTCTGTACTCACAGTTACAGTGGTCACATACATAGATTCTTCCTTCTAAATCTTCTTTTTCGGTAAATTTGCCCAACATTTCTGTAACCAGGCATGGCTGGGAGGCAGTATCTTTTCCACTGCATTGGTATCTTTCTGGAAATTCCAGTGACAAGTCCCAGAATGGTTCTATGGTATTTGATTTGTTGTTACATGAAAGACATGTAACCTGCAAAGAAAAATATTCCACTGATTACAGTCTTTCTGTCAAACCTTAACTCCTTTCACTAGAGCTCACTGCCACTAAATAAACAGAAAATGCACCATTAGAATTCTGAATAAAGGCTGGGCATGGTGGCACATGCCTTTAATCCCAGTGCTCAGGAGGCAGAGGCAGGCAGATCTCTGAGATGGAGACCACCCTGGTCTACATAGGGACTCTAGACCCCATTTCAAAAAAGACCAAAAAAAAAAAGCCAGGTGTGGTAGTGCACATTTATAATCCCAGCACTTGGGAGCCAGAGGCAGGCAGATCTCTGTGAGTTCAAGGCCAGCAGGGGCTACAAAAAAAAAAAGACACCCCCCCTCCTGAAAAAAAGAATTCTAAATATATTCTTGTCAGGAAATATTTATTATCATTTTTTTTTTCTCTAAAAAGACTGCCATCAGGACTGTCTCAGTGGGTAAAACCATTTGCTGCTAAGCCAGATAACCCGAGTTCAATTCCTGGGATCCATGTGGTAGGAGGAGAGAAGTGACTTCCATAAGTTACTCTGCAACCTCTACACACCCATACAACTCACAGATGTGCACAAATGTAATTTTTAAAATGTAATTTAAAAAAAAATTAGAGCTGGAGAGATGGCTCAGCAGTTACAAACACTGACTGCTCTTGTAGAGAACCCAGGTTCAATTCCTAGCACCCACATGGCAGCTAACAACCATATCTAACCCCAGTTCCAAGGGATCCTATACTTTGTTCTGACTTCCCTGGGCACTGCATGACATGGTTGCACTTACACACATGCAGGAAATACACTCATATACATTATAAATAAAAATATTTTAAAAACTTTTTAAAGATTGTCATTAAACTCATAAATGGTGGACTTGAATTACTGGCCCATCAAAAAGCTCCAACAGTAGTCTAGAATTAGGGGAAAAACAAAACAGGCTCATTTAATAGATACATATGTATGTGTACATATTTGTATGTTTACTTACATGTATGTCATTAGACTTTAGGTTTGTCATCTTTTCCTCCCTCATCCTTCACCCATTTTGTTTGTTTTTGGATTCTGAGACAATGTCTCACACTGTAGGCTAGGCTAGGTTAGCCTGGAACTCACTAAGTAACCAAGGCTGTCCTTGACTCATGACAGTCTTTCTACTCAGCCTCCCAAGTGCTCTGATTACTAATGTAAGCCACCATACCCTGCTGTTCACTGATTTTCTTTCCCAAAATCCTCTTAATCTTTTAATTTTTAAAAAATATTTTTTAATTTTATGTGTATGAGCATTGGGCCTGCATGTATAAGTACATCCATACTGTGCAATGCTGGTGAAGACCAGAAGAGGGCATCAGATCCCCTGGAACTGGAGTTACAGACGGTTGTTAGCTGCCATGTGGGTGCTGGAAACCAAATGGGTCCTCTGTAAGGACCAGTGCTCTTAACCTCTGAGCCATCTCTCAAGCCCCCAACGTTTTAATTTCTTTGTGTTGACGATTTAGCCTAGGGCCTTTCACATGCTAAACACATACTCAGTTATAGTCTAACCACTTTTTATTTGGAGGTGTGGGGGAGGTGTTTTGTTTTATTTTTTCCTTAAGTCAGGCTAGCCTAGAATTTGTAATCCTCTTGCCTTAGCCTCCAGAGTACTGGGATAATCCAGTACTCAATCCAGTATCTTAAGCATAGTATTAGTGAAATGCCATTCATATTTTCATTATTCAGATTTCAAAGCCCTATCAACTAATAATTCCAAAGATAATACATGTAAGATAATTATGTCACATTCTCACTTAAACATCACATTAAAATCCCTCTCCAAGGGGTTGGGTATTTGGCTCAATGATAGGGCACTTGCCTAGTACAAGGTCCTAGATTAGGTCTCCAGCACAAGAGAAAACAAAAGGACCCTATCAAAATATAAAAACCATGGCACAGTTAGGGATATAGTTGAATGAACAACCACCTCCCCCCCACAAAAATATAAGAGTACTTCTAAGAACTTCTAGGGGCAATTTAACAATTAGGGCATTTCATTCTGCCAATCCAGCACACATATAACTGAAGACACTATAAGTAAATTATCTCCCCATTACACAAGACATTGCAGAGCAACTCTTTCATAGAAGCCTCGGGCACCAAAATAAGCCAACTCCAATACAGATTTTAGATGTAAATGTTTAAACAGAAAAGAGGCTTGGTCTGGAGAAATGGCTCAGTGGTTAAGAGCACTGACTGCTCTTGCAGAGGACCTGGGTTCAATTCCCAGCACCCACATGGCAGCTATGAACCGTCCTTGATTCCAGTTCCAGGGGAGTCCGAAGCCCTCTTCTGACCTCTGTGGCATTGCACGATACGGGTGCACTCACATACATGCAGGCAATACACTCGTACACATAAAATAAAAATATTTAAAAAAAAAAAAGAGGCTTGAGGTATATGGCTCAGTAGCAGAGTGTGAGGCCCCAAAGAAAAGCAAAATGTTTTTTATTAATTTTAAAATTCACAAATAAATGAAAAAAAAAATCAAGCACTCAGCCATTCTCACACTATTGGAAATATAACTTTCTAAAAAGAAATGTGTCATTAAGTATCAAAGCAACTCTTTTACCTTTTGATAAAGTAATTTTAGGATGCTTCATAAGGAAAACATCAGAAGAAATACTTTTTTATTACATAATGGGAAAAATAAAATTAGTCTCCAAATCAGCGAATAGGTAGATAAGCTAGGGTGTGAACAGGTATCTAGCAGACATAGAAATGTTTTGAAAAGAATGATCAAATATTTTTAATAACTGAAAATTATTACAACTTGTCGGGCATGGTAGCACATGCCCTTATTCCCAGTACGCAGGAGGCAGAGGCAGGCGGATCTCTGTGCTAGCCTGGTCTACATAGTGAGTTCCAGGCCAGCTGGGGGTATAGGGAGACCCTCTGATTAAGGAATGGCTTACTTTCTTCTGTGTATATTTCTTGCACATAGAGGTTTTCTACAATTATATATTATATACGTAGTATATTTTGAAGATTTTTATATAGAAATGACAGAAATAAACAGAAAAATAAGGTTTCACAAAACAAAGTGTGATCCTTGTTTGCTAACTGGCAGGTGTAGAATCTTCAAAAAAAATTTTTTTTAACTTTAGAAAAAAAACTTTATTGAGAATTTCATATGTACATATACGGCGTTTTGATCAAATCCATGCCCACTCCCTCCCCTCCAACACCTCCCATATCTCATCACTTTTTTTTGACAACTTTGTGTACTTTTTTTTTCTTCAAAAAAATTTTTTTACATTTATTATTTGTGTGCATATGCCACAGCACACATGCAGACATCAGAGGGCAACCTGTGGAAGTCAGTTTTTTTCCTTCCCCCTTGTGAGTTCCTGGGATTGAACTCAGATGGTCAGGCTTGGCAGCCAAGCCACCTCACCAGCTCACATTGTAGAATCTTTTTGTTTTCTTTTTGTTGTTGTTTTGGGACAGGGTCTCTCTGTAGCCAAAGCTGGTGGCCTGGATTCACTAGGGAGACCAGGCTGGCCATGAACTGGCAGAGATTCGCCTGCCTCTGGCTCCGGAGTCCTGGGACTAAAAGGCATGGGCCACCACACCTGGCTTCATTGTAGAGGCTTTACATTTTTGAAATAGACTCAAATACACTGCATAGTTTCCTCAAGAAGAATTATGTCACCAAGAGTCATGGCACGTACCCTGTTATCGCAACACTTAGGATGCTGAAGCAGCAAGACTGCAAATTCAAGGCCAGCCTGGGCTACAAAGTCAGATCCTGTCTCAAAAAAACAAAATAAGGGGCTGGAGAGATGGCTCAGCAGTTAAGAGCACTGGTTGTTCTTGCAGAAGACCCAGGTTCAAATCCTAGCACCCAAATGGCAGCTAACAACTGTCTGTAACTCCTGTCCGAGGGGATCCGACAGCCTCTTCTGACCTCCACAGGCATTGCACGACATGGGTGCACTGATCTACATGCAGGTAATACACGCATACACATAAAATAAAAAAATTTTTTTTAATTAAAAAAGAAGCAAGTTTAAAAAAGAAAAAACAAAAGAAACAAACAAAAGGAACAGGCTGATTAAATGTCTCAGCGGTTATGAGCATTGGTTGCTTTGCAGAGGACCTAGGTTCAGTTCCCAGCACCCACAGAGCATAGTGGCTAACAACTGTCCCTAACTCCAGTTCTAGGGATTCTGATGCCCTCTTCTGGCCTCCCAGGCATTACATGACATGGGTGAACTTACAAGCAGACAAAACACTCATACATATAAAAATTTAAAAATAAAATAAATAAAGACAAAGAAGAATTGTATCTGAAGTACTTAAGCAACATTTTAGAAAGAGTGCTACACAAACGAAAGGTGGTATTTGCAGGGGAAAGCTGAAATGAAAGACAGAGGCAGATGTGCAGGTAGAGGGATATGACCTAAATGCCTAATTGCCTCAGTTACATGAAAAGGGAAGCTGTGTGCTATGGGAGGGTAGAGAGCCTTATGTCCAGTTACTCATTACACAGAACCATTAAATTAGATGGACTTTGGTTTTTGAAACTCACCTTTTCAGAAGGGAAATTGTTACAGAAGTAACTAACATAAAGAGGAACTATTTAGAATGATTAATCTAAATGAAATCACATTTATTTACCTTACAATTTCCCTAACTGTTAAAGACTGACCCTTTGGCTTTTTATAGGAGGTCCCCAGGGCTACCATTCCCACAGCCATGAAACTGCTCACAGGTGCACCATTCTCAATAGAGCAACACCACTAAATCTGTTCCCTCTTGGATTAAGCTCCACCCCCTTTCCTAACCTTTCAGAGAAGGAATCTAGTATAAAGTTTGGCTCCTTGATTTATTCTCCTCCCTCAAAAAGCTTTTGATTTCATGAATATACAGGTATTTCCAATAGTTCATAAAGAACTCTAAAGGAATAGGCTGACTTCTTTGCACATTTATAAAAGGAATCTATTTTGATTTAAAAAATGGCACAAACTTTCATACACTAGATATATACAGAATATATATTTTTAGGGTACACTTTAAGAATTCTCTAAGAAACTGGGAGTGGTGAGATACATCTTTAATCCCAGTACTCAGGAGGCAGAGGCAGGTGGATCACTGTGAGTTCGAGGCCAGTCTGGTCTACATAGCAAGTTCTAGGCCAGCTAGGGCTGCAGGAAGATCCTGTCTCAAAAAAAAAAATTCCTAAAATGGAGCTAAAGAGATGGCTCAGTGGTTAGGAGTACTTCTAGCTTTGCAGAGGACCCAGGTTCAGTTCCCAATATCCACATGGTGGTTCACAACTGCTTGTAACTCCTGTTTAGGGGATCCAACACCTTCTTCTTAGGCTCCACAGGTTCCTACACACATGTGGTGCACATATACTCATGAAGGCTCATACACATACGCATAGATATAGAAATTTGTTTGAATTCCCTAAGAAAAAATTTTAAGAAATCCATACCTGACTAAGAAGTTGTCCATGAAAAATGTTATTTACAACATTCAGAACGTGTTCAATAAGTTTTCTTTGAGAAGTGGGAATAAGAGCTGGTAACTTGGTACCAGTTGTTTCTAGTTCACGTTGTATTGTATCCAAAAGTTCACAAAGAAATTCCTGAGCATCTTGTTGGGCATAACCACGAAAAGCAGGAATTAGTTTCCACACTGAGTGTAGCATAGCAAATGGTGAGACCAAGGCCCACTCTCCAGACCACATGACTTGGAACAAAGTGTGTAATTCATGACATAGAGAACTGTATTGTGAACTCGGCTCCCTTGGCTGAATAAGTTCCATATTTCTACCTTTTGATGCTCCACCACTTAGGCCAGATAAGCTTGGATGTCTGGAGCAAACAAAGCCTTTATCTTTTTCTTGGCCTTTATTCATTTGATGTACTACTGTGTCTGTGACAGGGGAATGCTTGCAAGTTCTTGTCTTATCACTAGCAGTCACAGCCAGCCACTGGTTCAGATCAAGCTTTAAAAAACATTGTCGAAAAATAAGCAAGTGGCTCAGTACTTGAAGAACAGAATTCATATAGCAAGTATTTCCTAAATTTCTCAATCCTGTTACACCAGGAGTTACTACTGGCCTTCGCTTAACTGAAGAGTCACTTACTTTTTTAAATTTTACATCTTCTGAGGTAGATAATACCCCTTTATCTTTGGCTGGCGATGCTGCAGTCTGTGGTGGTACTTGAACTGGAACTATCTCTACCGTGGTGGACTCAGCTAGGCCTTGCAAGCGTAGACTCTTCCTTGGAGGCGTGCTTTCCAATTCTGCTTTCACCTCATGCTCTGATTCTTCTTGTCTTTTCTTTACTTCTCTTTTTGCTACTTTTTCCTGAAATTGTTCTTGCTTTTTTCTCCCAATGGGTGACTGTTCAAACCAAGTTCGAAAGATTTTACCCATGAGCATCTTTCTCCTGTGCCAGACGGCAGTACACATTTGATCTTCATTTTGAGGCAGAGATTGGGTGCCATCATGCAAGCAGTAAGAACTGTCACTTGTGTCAACAGACTGTAAAACCCTTTCACTCCGAACTGCACAATGGTAATTTTGACTTTTGATTGTACTTAATGTACTTCGTAGGAACTTCAGGTCTCCAGCTGCATTATCATTTAGAACATAATCATTACAAAGATAACAAAAAACATACATGTCATTCACCTCCAGCGCAACAGGATGACTGCTTTCTTGGAAGTGCCTCAGTGCGTGCTCAGCAATATACCGTCCACAGGCAACATGGGAACAGCTGAGGCAAGCCCAGATTGACTCAGTCGTATTGCAGTCCATACAATACCATTTCTGAGGGCTGAGGATGGAATGGTCTTGAGCAAGCTCCAACTGCCCAATGTGTTTGCATTTATCCATCGTTAGTAGTTATTCAGTCTATCTGAGAAACACATAATCCAAACAAGTCTCTGTTCACAACACTTGAAGCATCTGAAATCTAAGCAGAACAAGGTCAATTTTTTCATAAAATACAAAGATTTCTTTTTAAAAATATTTTCCTAAGAATAATATAAATTTGCTTCCTCCACCTCTAATTTCTGAATTGCTTGTCACAATACCAGAGGCATTTATCTCCTACCTCCCCAGCGCAGGTTTTGATTTTCTTCTCTCTCTCACTTTACTCTTACACAGCACATACTTAACTTTACATTTTCTAATGAGCCTGCTTTCAGAACTTACGATTTTCTGCCACCACCTAGTGGTGAAAATTGGTTTCACTCAATTAGAATAGTATCCATCCTTTTTATCAGACTGTCTGACAACAGTTTCCAAAAGCACATTCTTTCTTTAAAATAGGAACTGTCAGTAACAGGGGTTTAAACAAGACTGAGTAAAACTACTAGGATTCCAGAGGCCTCTAACCCTATAGTCTTAGGGGGATGTCTCAGAGGCAGAGCACTTGTCTAGCATGCAAAAGGCCCTGGGTTTGATCTCAAGCACCACATATGCATGCCACGAACAAACAAACACACACACACACACAGAATAGATGGCTTGGTGGTTAAGAGCACTTGCTGCTCTTGCAGAGGACCCAGATTCTGTTCCCAGCACCTACATGATGGCTCACAATAGTCTATAACTTCAGTTCCAGGGAACTGCACGTACATGATACATTTACATACCTGCAGGCAAAACACTCATACACATATAAAATATATTTTAAAAAGTAGTTGCTCACAAAGCATTTTTTCCCATTGATTTAAAAAGAACTTAATACAAACTTTAGGAAACAGGAGAGGACCCAGTTACAGAACACAAGATCATATATATAACATAGGCAATGTGAATTTCAATGGTGTTTGCAGTGCCACCTCTGAGGCCCTAGGAGAAACTGCACAGGTAAACCTGATTTCTGGTGCCTTCCATCTTAACTGCTAATAACAGTAAAAGACATAGAAAATTAAAAACTGGGCTGGGAGTGCAGCTCAGCAACAGTGTAAGCCTAGCAAGCTTAAGGTCCTAGATCCAAACACAAAAATATATTAAAATACTATAAATGTGACTATCCTTCAGATGTATCACTTTTCAGAGGTTCATTCTTCTTAGCCAAATAAGGCTTTAATGGATGTCAAGATGCTACCAAGAAGTATTGGGCAAGGTGATGCACGTCTCCTTGAGACAGACCAGCAGATCTCTGTGAGCTCCAGACTAGCAGGGTTAAATAATGAAACCCTGGAGGGAGCAGGGGAGAAAGAGAGAGAAGAGAAGAGAGACTACCAAGCCCTAATCTCTCCCATGAATATTTGCATTTTAAAAGGGGTCTCTCCAAAATCTTTTTAAAATCCAAAATGTGAAATGGAGTGGTGGAATCCCAGGTCATGTGATTAGAGCAGGGGACCCATTTATGCCGTCTACTTCTGAAAGAAGGCAGCAAGTGACAGACAGCTAAGGGAAAGAGCAGGGAGGAAAACAGGGGCCAAAGAGGCAGCTGCCCCCAGAGATCCAGTCTGCCAGGCCACCGCTGAAACACGGGGGGCAAAGGCCCAAAGAGGCGGGTGGTACAAAGATGTAAAAGCTTGAAGGAGGATGGGAGTATTTTCTTGAGGCTTTATACTACCCTTCCCTGGGTCTACCGTACTTCTTTTCACTTGGTCATCAACTGCTGTGAGAGGTGTCAACTCTGGCTCCAGCACAACAAATACAAAATTTTTGGCAGCATATTCACTTTAAAGCGATTTGGCACAATATAACTTCTGTATTCCCCATAGATTCTGATAGAATATTACTGGTACATATGTAATAAACCAAATACTTAAGATGTTCTCAAGGAAATACATGTTAAATGATCTGTATTGTCTTCTCAGTTAAATAGAAACCACATAAGCAGCTGTATAGATAGATGTACTTAAAAATGTTACAAAAGCTTTTGGTTATTCTTCTGTGCTTAAAGACAATACTTTTAATTTTTTCTTTTTCTTTTTTTTTTCTGGTCTTTTTTGAGACAGGGTCTCCCTGTAGCCTCAGCTGGCCTGGAAATCACTATGTAGACCACGCTAGCCTTGAACTCACAGAGATCCACCTGCCTCTGCCTCCCAAGTGCTGGGATTAAAGGCGTGCTGCCACCATGCGAGGTCATTTTTTAATTTTTCAAACTTAATTTACTAACTCACGTCCCTAGTAAACAGGGTTCACACTTAACATGTTTACTCTGGAACAAAAGTTTTATAAACAATTCTTATAAGAATAGTATAATCTGGGGGCTGGAGAGACAGCTTAGTGGTTAAGAGCACTGACTGCTCTTGCAAAGGACCTGAGTTCAATTCCTAGCACCCACATGGTGTTTAAGAAACACCCTCTTCTGACCTCTGTGGCACTGCATGATACTGGTACACTTACCACATGCAGGCACTTATATTCATACACATAAACTAAAAATAATAAGGGGTTGGGGATTTAGCTCAGTGGTAGAGCTCTGGAAAGAAAAAAAACAAAAAAGACCAAAAAAAAAAAAAAAGGCAACAAAATAAAAATAAATAAAACATTAAAAAAGAATAATGTACGGCTGGGTGTGGTGGCGCATGCCTTTAATCCCAGCACTCCGGAGGCAGAGGCAGGCGGGTCTCTGTGAGTTCAAGGCCATCCTGGTCTACATAGTGAGTTCCAGGACAGCTGGGGCTACAGGGAGATCCTGTCTCAAAAAGACAAAAAAAAAAAAAAAAAAAAAAAAAAAAAAAAAAAAAAAAAGTAATCTAATAATTGTGATTCAAGTCCATTTTTTATTTTTATTTATTATTTTATGTGTATGACTGTATTGCTTGCATGTAGGTAAGTGCACCCATGTCGCATAATGCCTACAGAGGACAGAAGAGGTCGTTGGATCTCCTGGAACTGGAGTTATGGACAGCTGTTAGCTGCCATGTGGGTGTTGGGATTCGAACCTGGGTCTTCTGCAAGAACAACCAGTGTTCTTAAATGCTGAGCCATCTCTCCAGCCCCTCAAGTTCATTTTTTAAAAAATGCTAGTCATAACCATTTCATAGTTTCATAAATATAACAATAACAATAATATATTTGTCAGCCTTGTTTTCAAAATTCTCTAGATTCCAACTAAATCTCTTTGCTTTGTCACTGTAAATTTGTCATGTGTATGCCCAACAAGAGTCAATTCCAATTAACTTCCAGGATTCACCATCAAATCTTGCCAGTTAAAAATTTCTGGAGCTGGAGAGATAGTTCATCGGTTAAGAACACTGGCTGTTCTTGTAGAGGACCCTGGTTTCAGTTCCCAGCACCCACATGGTGGCTAACAACTATCCATAACTCCAGTTCCAGAGGATCTGATGTCTCTTCTGGCTTCTGCGGGCACTGCACACATATGGTGCACTTACATGCAGGCAAAATACTCATACACATAAAATAAAAATAAGTATTCACATTCTAAATACACTGTATTGCTGTAAGAATTGGAAAAGTAGCCATACCCATTACTCTTCTCCATGCTGTGACAAAATACCTGACAAAAGCAAATTAAGGAAGAAAGGGTTTACTTTGGCTCACAGTTTGAGTGTGTACAGTCCATCATGGCAGTGAAGACATGACAGGAAAGGCCTGTAAGCCCAGCCCATGCGGATGATGTTGCCTGGTTCTGTTGCCAGTTCCATTTACTACAGCTGTAGTGGGCTCTGTGCACCCTGGTGGCAGAATCTGGGAAAAGCCAGCTATCTAGATGGTTGTTTTGAGCAGAGAGCTCCTTCAATGGCATCCTTAGTTCAGTCTCTCACATGAATTTGCATTTTTATAAGCTAGGGCCTTTGATGAATGGGGTCTTTCCCTCAAAGTACCCTTCCTATTATCTCAGTGCAAAGAAGGTTTCTTCCTACTCAGAAACCCACACAGCTTCAGCCACCTGATTTCTGACAAGGATGCCAAAACACTGCTGAAGACAAGCCCTTGAACAAATGGAACTGGGGAAACTGGATGTCCACATATAGAAAAATTAAACTAGAGCCTTCTCTCTTACTGTGCACAAATCAACTCCACATGGCTCAATGATCTTACTGTAAGACCTGGAACTCCGAAAATGTTAGGGGAAAAGGGGGAACTCTTCAAGATATAAGTACAGATAAGGACTTTCTGAATAGGACTCTAGCCACTCAGTAAATAAAGCCAGTTATCCATAAATGGGACTAAATTTAAAAGCTTCTGTAGTGCAAAGGAAACTTTAGTAAGTTAAGAAGCAACTAACAGAACAGGTGAAAATCTTTGCCAGCTATATATCTGACAAAGGATTACTATCTAGAACACACAAGGTACTCAAAAAACTAAGAAAGAAACCAACTTAATCAAAAAATGGGATGAGAGGCTGAGCAGAGTTCTCAAGGAAGGAAATATAAATGGAAAATAAAGGGTTGGAGAGATGGCTCAGCTATTAAAGAGCACTGGCTGTTTTTGCAGAGGATCTGAGTTCAATTCCCACACCCACATGGTGCTAACAACTGTAACTAGATAACTAGAGTTCCAGGGGGATCTAATGCCCTCTTCTGACTCCGCAGGCACTGCATGACATGGCTGCACTTACACACATGCAGGCAATACACTAATACACCTAAAATAAAAATAATGAAATAAAAAATAAAGAAAAAAAGAAAAACAGGACTGTATATAGCTTCATGGTAAAATGCTTGGCTAGTATGTAGAAGGCCCTGGGTTCAACTCCCAGTAATGGAAAAACAAAACAAAACCACAACAAAACCTACAGATTCCACTGAGCATAAAGTAGAATCAAAATCATGTCACAGTAATTATCTCATTGAAGAAAATCCCGAAAGGCATGTTGGTGAATGCCTATGTAATAATCCCGGCACTCAAGGCTGTGGCAGGATTGGGAGTTTGAGATCAGCCTGGGCTGCCTAGGAGACCATGTCTCAAGGAAAAAGAAGAAAAAATAGATCTGGAGACTTCCCACAGGGATGTATGATAAAATAGGCATATGCTGAATATATATTTGTTTGTTTTTAGCTTGTTTTGAGATAGGGTTTCCCTTTAGCCCCAGCTGGCCTGGAACTTCATGTACACTAGGCTGGTCTCAATCTCACAGAGATGCAGTGCCTCTGTCTCCCCTCCCAGGCGCTGTTAAAGGAGTGAGCCATGGAGCCTGGTCATGTTTCTTTTTAATATAACAATTTAAACTGATCCTCTTAAGACTTAAAAATTGGAATATTTGCTATTTTCCATAATAAAAAATAGGAGGAAATAGTAATTTCAGTAGGAGATTAGGCTTTAGGAATTATAAACCACAATAATGACATGCATTTGGATAAGAATGAAAATAGGTTTATCCATAGTTTGTAGTTAATTAGTGTAAACCCTACTCACTCTGTAAGTAGTTTCCAATTTTCCATTTACTTCATGGAACCACCACAGAACCCTGTCCTCTTAAGAGATGTTTGTAAAATGCCAAGGGTCAAGCATAGTGTTTGGTGTACAGAAGGGGGTTCAATATTTTTGAAAGGACAAATTATTGAGCAAAATGAACACAATGGGCTCTCGAACTCCCCTTGCTCCCTCTTAGGCACCCCTATTGTTCCTATTATGTGCTTTGGCACCTCTCTATGTCAATCATGACGTATTTTCATTCCTTTATCTCAAAAGGCTCTGGTTATTCTTTCTTCCTTTAGAAATCTAGAATCTGTAATTACCCTGATCCTCCTCATTAAGCAATAAAGAATAACCATTTCCCTGAGCCTTCCTTATAACCTAGCTGAAGCTTTTTAAGATAAAGTTCATACAAAGTAATTTCTGCCTCCAGGTGAAATTCCTTGCTCCCATCACTATTTCTAAGTAATTAATTTGGGAGCAATATTATCAGTGTCACTCCCACATACTATTTGTACATGAACTTCCCATGGTGAACCTTGTAACAATGGCGGAAACATTCAGAAAAACACCAACCATTTATTTATGGATCTAATAAATCGAGTTTAAATATTTTTGCACAATATACCTATACTCTCCACTTATTCTAGAACATTCATGACTTAATCTAACAAGCATATTAAGACTAAAAATTAGCATTTTTTTCTATAATAGACAAAACTTCATTAAGAATAAATTCTTAAGTTTTTACAGTGTCTGAAAGCACTGTCAATAGTTGCACTTATTACAGTAATTTTTCTCGGCCAGTATTTGTAAAATGTTTCTATTTTGTACTTGTCATTTATTCAGATTGGGCCTCAGGTAAAACCGTTCCCTATGATTTAGGCACACAATTTATTTCCCATCTTGACTAGTCTCTTGAGCCTATGCCTCAGCCTCTCTAATCTTCCTTACCAGGCAAATGCATTAGAATCCGGCATCCATGTCTGTTCTGTTTAATACTGCAGGGAAGGGGAGAAAGTTCAAAGCACCTTTGTTTCTGGCACTAAGAAGGCAAAATGGTGTCTTTCTCCTTGTCTGTGCCATTCAAAAAGGAAATGCACAAACAGAAGTTCATGGGGATTTTCCCCTCCATGTTAGCAGTTAATCTGGTGCTCTGGCTAGGAATACCAAAAAAAAAAAAAAATCTGCCCTCAAGCAAACCAATCAGCAGATAATTCTCTTAAGTATCGCCAAAATACCATAATATTCTATAAGATTCAAGTGTACAGAGGAAAGGTCTGGTAGAGCATATAAAACTGACTCTTTTTTTAGTGTAAAAAAGCCTATACAAAGGTTGGGCTGAGCCTAGAGAGATGGCTGAGTGGTTAAGAGCACTGATTGTTCTTGGAGAAGACCGAGGTTCAATATCCAGCACCCACATAGAGGCTAACAACTGCCAGTTCCAGGGGAATCTGGTGCTCTTTTCTGACATCCGTGGGCACTGCATGACACAGGTGTACTTTACATACACGCAGGCAAAACATTCATACATACAAACTAAAAAAATTTTAAAATTTTTAAAAGAGGAGCAATTTTTTTATGCTTATTTATTTTTTTATTTTTTTTGACAGGGTCCCCCTTAGTCCCATCCCACCTGGAAGTCACTATGTGGACCAGACTGGCCTCAATCTCACAGAGATCAACCTACCTCTGCCTCCCAAGGGCTGGAATTACAGGCATGCACCACCATGCCCAGCATGTGTTTAGATATTTGGATCTTGGACAGATTTCACTTTTTTTACATTTATTTTTATGTTATGTGTTTTGAAGTCTTTTGCCTGCATGTATGTAAGAGGGCATGGGATCCCCTGGACCTGGAGTTGCAGAACTGGAAACCGAGGTCATCTACTAGAGCAGCCAGTGCTCTTAACCACTAAGCCATATCTCTCCAGCCCCAACAAATTCTTAAAGATTTCACCAGTATCTCAGGCTGACCTCAAACTCATGATTCTCCTGCCTCAACTACCCTCATGCTGGAATTACAAGTGTGTGCAATCATGTCGAGCTAGATTTCCCATTTTAAAACTCTAAAAGCATATTGTATATTACACAAAATGCTGATTTATTTATCTCTTTAAAAAATTTTTTACCTAGATTGTTGGGCATAGTGGTGCCAACCTTTAATCCCAGCACTCAGGAGGCAGAGGTAGGCCAGCCTGGTCTACAAAGTGAGTTCCAGGTCAGCTGGGGCTACAGGGAGACCCTGTTCATCTCACAAAAAAAAAAAAAAAAAAAAAAAAACTAGAAAGCAAAAAAGCTTTTTGAAGAAACCAAGATTGATGCACAATTAAAATAGCCAAAATATTTCAAACTTCCAGTACTGTACATATGCAACTATTTGTTTAATATAATGTCTCACTTTCAATTTGGATAGTCTACAAATAATATTGGACTGAAAAATCTAACACCATTGTATAACTACAAGAAAGAAAGAAAGAAAGAAAGAAAGAAAGAAAGAAAGAAAGAAATCACAGATATCCAGAGTAGGAAGAGAAAAGCTGAATGTGCAAAATGTTTTAAAAATCTCTGATTTCAAATTCCCTGAGATAATAAAGTCAAATGCGTAAGGTTCCAAGAATACAAAGTTTCATCTCTTTTAGGACAAATACTGAATCTCATTAAGATTGTGAAATCTGCAGAGATGTGCTCAACTCGTGTTTGAATGTGAATCTGCTTACAAATAGTCAATTTTCTTTTGTTTACACCACATGCTAGTTTTGACGAAACCTCACACCGGTATTGCGGCCCCAAGGAGTTACCATGTCCTTTTTCCTCAGAGGCAGCAGATACTAAGGAATTCAAGCGCAGAGCCAGAAGGTACTTCCATGCTGATTTCACAGCCGGGTTAGTAGCAATGTAACAATTATGGTAACACGTAAAAATGTTACAATTACGGTTTCAAAAACAGCTCGAGGAAAGTGAATCTTCCAAGTTACTACACTATTACACTTCCTAGATTAAAACTGCAAGACATTATCCAGTTACCAGTACAATTTACATCAGCTAAAAACTGCCGTTGAAACAATTACTATCTTCCACTTCTTTTTAGAGTGGCGCGGTGGAGCGTCCTACCTTCCAGGACTGAGCGGTCTCTGCCGCCCCGCACACTGACATATTTCTTACTTCGCACCCCTGCAGCATGCTGCCCGCCAGGACCAGTGCGAACGGGCTTCGGGGAGCCGGCATCACCAGCTCAGGCACGAGCGGTAGCAGGTGCTGGCAGCGCGGCTCCGGTGACACCCGGCGCCCTGGCCCGCCCCCTCCCCCACCCTCCGCCCCAGCAGCATCCCGCCCGACTCCAGCAGCACCGCAAGACGCACCGAGACTCCCCGGAGGCGCCAATTCTAAATTCTCCGAACCCGTCGCCTCTCCACCGCGTGCCCTAGGGCTCGCTCCCTCCGTCCGTCCACAGCCCCCTCTGCGCCCTCAGGAACCCCTAAACCCTGCGAGCCGGAAAACTCTGTCAGGTGCCTATGGTCCGGGGTTCCAGTCGGACATCCGCGCCCTCAGAGAGACTCGCTCCGCAAACCGCCGCAGCCCCGCGCCCCTCACCACTCACCGGCTAGAGCCGGAGCAGCCATCTTAGTGCGCATCGGGGCCCGGGGTTCCTGAGTTCGGCCGAGACCGGCGGCGAGGGTCCAGCGGTACGTCAGCGGTGACGCGCGGCAGGCCCCGCCCACAGGCACAGGCCCCCGCGAGCAGGCGCAGGGGCGCGAGCGAGGCCGGGCTGTGCTGGCTACCTGTGGGCGGAGCGAGGCACGTGGCTCTGCGTGGACAACACAGACCTCCTCTCCCGGAAAGGGCTCCACCTGTCGGCGCCCGTGAGGCTCAGGAGGCGAACCCAGTTCCCTGCATGTCTGAGATGCGAGACCACCCACAGGTGTCCTTACGCCCCAGTTTCCTGGAACTCACACAGCTCGGAATCGCAGCCACGCGCGCCGATTTCCGTACAGATAAAAGTCTCCAGTTGGCGCACATTCCAAATTATTCCCCAGCAAGCACCTGAGCTGCAGGTAAGGGTCTAGCGTGGGGAAATGTCCAGCGATAACAGAGACACGAAAAAGCAACTGTCCACAATCACCGAGCCGCCAATGATCAAAGAAGTTCGTATGGACGCGAGAAGAATAGGCAAGAGAGGAGAGGTGTAGGAGAAAGTCGTGCCTACAGATCCATAAAAATCGACCCACGTGTTTGCTGAGCACTGAGCGGTGTCAACCCTCGCCTTCCCTGCGGGACACTAAAAATTAAGGCATCCCTTCCAAAGACAACTTACTTAAAACAGCGAGACAAGGGCATAAGGCGACGTCAGTGGGATGCGAAATCATGCACTACGTAGGGCTAAAGTTGTTCATATATTTACACCAACAGGTAGAATCTAAGAGTTTTCTTTCAGAAATGTGAGTTGAGGGGGTGATGAACACAGCGGCGTTTGAATGGATAAAATGTTTAACCGAAGAGAAATGATTAACAGCTAGCCCTGTAACCTCTGGGGATTTTTAGGTTGTTAACAAAACAGTGCAAACGATTCCTATTTGAAAAAAACAAACAAAAAACCCAAAACAAAACAAAAAACCCGAATGTGTGAAAATTACAAAAGATGAAAGATTAAGGGATGAATCTGCACAATTTAATACTTCTTTAGTGTACGATAATTCCAATTCAACTGTTTCCCCAAACCCTCCCCCCAAATTTAACATTGGGGGGGCTCACGTGCCATTGTGTGCGTGTGCTGGTCAGACTCCTGTGGGAGTCGGTGCTCTTCTTCCACTAACTGGGTGCCGAAGATGGAACTCTTGAGGCTTGGTCGGGAGCGTCTTCATCCGCCCCCATGGGGCTTCTCCAGCCCCCATGAAGCTATCATAAAGTGGCTGGGGATGCAGCTCAGAGGTAGAGCAAATAACAAAAACTGCCTTAAAGAAAGAGCAGAATGGAATGAAAACCATCAATGGTAGAGAATTTGGGTCACAAAACAAGTTGTATGTGGTCAAATAGCAGCGCACACAAGCTCAGAGACAGGAGTTTCCTGAGATTAGGTCTTCAAGGAAAAAGTGGCTGTAGCCTGGTGTCAGAACTAAAGCCATGGGAATAAATGGAGAAGGAAATGAAATGCGAGGAAAATAAAACAAGAGCAAGCTGAATTAGGCATAGGTGTCGGTACGCAATAGAATGTCCTCAATAAAATAGAATGTCCTCAATAAAATATCTGGAGTACAAGGTTATAAGCCAACTCGGTGCCAGGTGGGAAGGGAAGGAAGTTGTAGAAAAGTTTTAATAGTGTGAATTACAGAGAATGTTTATAACAGACATTTCTTTATGTTTGTTGTTATTCCTGTTTATTCAACTATCAACTCCTCAGCTACCGTTTATTCCTCCTTTTCCCCCTTAGGCCTCAATTTCGGTTCACTCAAGCTTGTTTTCTGACCCAAGGATCTCTCTCTCTCTATAGTAATCTCCATTTGTACATAGTTATCAGAACCAGTCTTCTTTAATTTCTCTTTTGTTTTTGACCAGTTTCATTAGGTCTAAGTTTTCCATATTTTTAAAAATACCTCCTTCCTTTCCCACCTTCACCAACTGACGTCCCCGCACTTACCTATTATATCCTTAAAAATCAATCTTTCCCCAAGTTGCCATTAGGGTAAGAGGTCAGCCCTTTTATGATCTCTCAGGCTTCGGGCACTTCCCACCTTAAATCGGGGTAGATGTTTATCTCCCAAGTAGAAAGTTCTCTAGGTTTCAACTGCAAATCATTACAACCGTGCTTTCAGGGCTGGCCTAAACTCTCACCTCCTGGAAACTGCTTTCCTAGAAAAAGGGACTCCCGGGATTCCCATCCCCCACCCCAGCAGTACATTATTATGCAGCCCCGGCTTTTGTTCGGAGTTCTGAGCCTGGTCCCTTCATTTGCATTGTAACCTCTTTGGGGGCAAAGACGGAGGCTTTGCCCCGTTTGTTTGTTTACCTCTTCATTGCTCATAGTATGGAGCCAGCCCAGATACTGTAAAAATTCCTAATGAAGAAACAAGGCTAGAAACTCCCTAGCACAAAACAGAACTTTGAAAGTAATGTGTAGAGTTTCCCTTGTGAGGAACACCCCAAATTGGGAGAAATGAATTTGCCCTTTTCTCGAGGAAACCGTTAAGGACTGTGATGCTAAGCATGTGACTAGTCATTTCTGAAGTACAGTACAAACTGATTTGTCTCTTGTACCATAGAGTATGAATGAATACAGGAAAAACATTGCATGCTTCATAAATCTTAGAGCTACTTTTTATTGTTTCTGTTGATTTTCAGAATTTTCTAACCCAGTCTTTCATGAGTTGGAGGATTATCTTTGTAATTAGTTTATACTAAAGAATTCATCTTAGGAATCACAAGAGTTTTCAGAATTTTTCAGGCTGTTCCCACTTAACAACTTTAAGATTTACAGAAGTTTTGGAACACCTGTGTGCCTGGCACCATGGTAGGAACTGAAATGTCCTTAGCTTTCATTTCAATGTTATGAGAAGATAAAGGATAGAATAGAGGAAGTGGATAAAGAAACACTGACGTGGGGGGTGGGGATGTAACTCCAGGGTAGAACTAGTACCCATGGGTCAATCCCCAACACTGCTAGAGAACAAAACAAAACAAAACAAAACCTAAAGAGCTTAGCCAAAAAGTTTGACTTAACACACTGCAGCTGAGTTTAAGTGACGGGGACCTAAAGGACCTTAAATTTCTGGCAAATATCTAAGAAAAGAAACGGCTTTGGAATTTTCTTTTTTTTTAACTCTAAGGATGAACAAGAGTGGCAGCCGGTATAGGTAAATGCATGCAGGGTAAAGATGATTTGCTTCAGACTCTTTTTTTCTTTTTAATTGTTGGTGCTTGGTGGGGGGGGGGTGTTGAATCTAAGACCTTGCCTATGCTAAGCACTTACTTGTTGTTTGGTCTACCACTGACCTACACCCCCAGCACCTAAGGAATTTTTCTCTGTGTTTTGTGGTCTGTAAGAGAAATTGTACATTGCAGGCAAATTACCTACTATAAATGAAACAGCCCTGGGTTTAGGTGTGAACGGAAGCAAAATTGTAAAGCTAGCCTGTTCAGTTTTTTCTTAACATCCACTTCATCTCCACCCTTCTCAGTTTTTCAGTACCCTTCAACTGCTTGTGTCCAGGGTTCTACTACACTCTATCTAGGCTTTTCTTATTTCTTTTTTCCCATTTTGTTCTGGGGCAGGTGCCCCAACCCCCCATTTGCTAAGGTGCTCAATTATCATGTAACAAATTCATCTACTTGTATATGTTCAATACTTTTTATTTGCATTTCTCTTTAAGACTGCCCTGAATGGAACTAATACATGCCTGGAGTAATGGAATTTCTAAAATGAAATGTTAACCACCCATACATATCAGTGGAATAGATACTTTTTTAAAACCAATGTCTTTTTCCCAAAAATGGGGAACAGAAGACACACATACATGCACACAGTAATCATAGACACACAGTTACATATACATAATTAACTGTTTATGAAGTTATCACAATCATAGTTTATCTAGTTTTAATTCTTTAGTTATGTTGCATGACTTTATCTCATTTATAAAGTTAAGAAAATAATCCTACACCTTTATCAAGAGGATGTTCTAAGGATCAAATAAGGCTTTGAAAAAAAAAAACAACAACAACAACAAAAAAACATTCCTTATGTGTAGGAGAAAAGTAAATGGACTTATTGTGCTGGATAGCTTTAGTGTCAACTTGACACACCTGGGTTGAGGAAGCCTCAATTGGGGAATTGCCTTCATTGGACTGGCCTGTAGCCATGTCCATAGGGCACCTGCTTGATTGCTGAGTGATGTGGGAGGTGCCATCCCTGGGCAGGTGGGCATGTGTTGCATAAGAAAGCAGGCTGAGCAGGGGCAGGGGAGCAAGCCAGTAAGTGGCGTTCCTCCAAGGCCTGTGCTCCAACTCCTGCTTCCAGGTTCCTGCCCTGAGTTCCTACCTTGAGCTCCCTGATGAACTGTGACCCAGGAGATATAAGCTGAATAAACCCTTTCCTCCCCAAGTTGGAAGTGGTCAGAGTGTTTTGTCACAGCAATGGAGAAACTAGGACACTTATCTCTCAGGATTATTAACTCATCTCTGAGTTATTCATAGCTAAACACTCCCATAGAAATACAGTATTCATACACAAGTCCCATGCAAACTCAAGCAGACAAAAACCCAACATAGATATGGGAAAATGGACAGCAGACCCAATCTTAGCTGAACAAATATTGGCAACTGATTACTGCTAGGTGAAGAAAAGCTGATCTTCCTAAGGTAAGGGACTCTAGATAAACTGACTAGACCTCAGTTGATGAACCACCTGAACTGTGCAATGTCTGGGGACACTAACTTGACACAGTAGGCCTTAACACAAATGAATGAATCCATGAATTTGGGGGGATGGGGGTGCTATGAGAGGGTGCCAGTGGAGACAGGAGTATAAAGATGATTCAGACTGATTGAGATGTTCTGTATAAAATACACAAAAATTAAATTAAGGGGCTGGAGAGATGGCTCAGCGGTTAAGAGCACTGACTGCTCTTGCAGAGGACTCGGGTTCAATTCCCAGTACCCACATGGCAGGTATGAACCATCATTAACTCCAGTTCCAGGGGAATCTGAAGCCCTCTTCTGACCTCCGTGG